CGAAGGCAAGTTCAAACAACTTCTGTACAACGAAAGGAGACTGCGACCATAAAAAAGGTCACCTCATTTTGGTCTTCATACCTTTGATAAAGCGTACAGTTGATGGGCAGCTGCCCTACACTTTATTGAGGCTCTTGCCAATATATGAGACAAAACGTCAAAGCTAGATTTCCCTATACGAAAACAATAAATGATAGTTTACATGAAGCTGCATTTCGAAGAATCCTTTAAGAAATTGGTACTGATGTAACTTTCCTTTAGTTTGAAGTGGCTAGCAGAAGATATTAGTAAATTGATATATTCAGAAGACAAAGAAAGATTGATTTGGACTCTGGATATTGCTCTACAAGTGTGGAGGTTTAATCCTGAGGTTGAGCGTGATGAGTGGCTCTTTATCCCGATGGCAGGTTGGCAACTTAATTACACAACTCTATAATTACAATTCCAAAGCAATCTTCTTAAATACGTTTGTGAGGCCAATCTACGAATCCCTTTAGCTCGCACAGTGGAATGAAATTAAAGATAAACCAACATAAAGCGTTCTATTTGATTGACGATTTGCCATTAATTTGATCAAAGAAATGACTTATAAGTATAACATGTTGATTTAATAATGTATGCATAATAAGTATGAAAGAGATAGCAAAATTATTGCCTCTTCTTCTAATCACATACTTGATATACAACAAGATTCATAAAAAAGATTATTTATATAAACAGATAAAATGGATATAAAATATAATAAGTAAATGAATTTATTCTATATTTAAGCAGAACATATCAAGTAATGTATGTTGAAAAAAAAACAATTAACATACATGAAAATATGAATATTGAACATTATATACGAAATTAGTTGGAGGAAAGCACTTACGTAGACGAGGCACATGGACGTCAGAGTTATGGCCAGCTCATCGATTCGGCTCCGTTGGGCCTTATTGGTAAGCACCATACAAGCAATATCTTTCCCTAATAAAATGAAGCAAACAAAGTTACGGACATATAGTTACTTGCTACATCCTAATTACTTTTTTCCAATAACTTCGTGGTATTTTTTGCTATATTTGATTCAATACCATAAAGGGATTAAGATGTTAGCAAATGTTCAAACTGTCTTAAATACGAAGAGTAACTGAATTTCGATGAATCTCCTGAGATAGCATTATTGGAAAGATCTTATTACTTCAGTAAATAAGTGGACACAAAGAGATAAAATGATTGTGTTTTTAGTCAAAAGGGATTCGTTTACAGAAAAATTAGACTTTGAGAATAGAAGATGCATAATTACTTTTTTTAAAGCTTTAAAATGAATCACAGGACATAAGACAATCTCGATAAGAATATAAACTTGTTTGTATCCAAAGTATTTGGTGTAGCTCAAATATCCACTAATAAAAATATAAATGAGCACCTGGACAGGAAATCGACCGAAAGGTTGGCTGCATACGGTGAAAATTCGAGAAAACGCAAGATTAGAGAGGCCATCGATATACTGGCCGACTTGAAGAAGGCAGGATCAGCGAAAACTTTGCATGTTGCCTAAACAAACTCGAAGAAAACCAGGAAAAGAAGACAACTGGATCAAGGTAATATCCTTAATTTTAGGAAAAGAGATCACAGGAGGACGAGAAAGGAACAATTAAAAGCAAAGAGAAGACGTTTTCAGTGAGCCATAATCAAAACAAGTAGAACCACAACATTTGTGGGTTGGAACACAAGAGACTAGGACATAGGAAGTGATGGACATGGTATTACAGATAGAAATAGGAAGAATGCGGTGGAGACTAAAGATATTTGGCTAACAATAAACGTGTTTGATCATAGGCATGATCACTGAGTCACGGCTATTGTTAGCCAACTAGCTCTAGCTTCCACTGTTTTTCTCCTCTTTCTATCTATAATATCAAGTCTATGATTTCCTATGCCCTAGTCTCTTGTGTTTCAAACCCAAAAACGTTGTGGTTCATCATTGAACATAATCAAAGCAAGCAGTACCCCAACATTTGTGGGTTGGCACACAAGAGACTAGGGCGTGACAAGTCATAGACTTGATATTAGGGATACAGACAGGATAGACGAGGTGGCGATTTGAGCTAGTTGGCTGACAGTAGGTTTTACAAGAGATGTGGTCCATGTAGTAAGGCATAACCATGAGACTTACTCAGAGGCTTTAGCCTCGAATTAGTCCCCTAGACGCAGGAGTGGGCGAATAACGGCTCGAGTAGCACAGATGAGGAGACAGGGTTAGAGTGAAATACGTGTACCAGGGAGACTTTGATAGGACGCAGGGAAGGACTACGTAACAATATGACAGACTCTGGCCAACATTCCCAGCACAAGGGTGAAGAGGGTGAGAACGACAGCGTGGAGTGTTAAGGGTTTTCATGAATGCCGCTTGAAGGAGCACATCACACTACATCGAAATAGACACGGTAAAATTGTAACAGTAAAGGCGTGATAGGAGTATATAGGAAATGTGAAGAGGCCTGGGCAGAAGAGGAGATACCGTAACTGATTAGCGCACGTTTGGTCAAAGGATCGGCTTCACTTGTCTCTTTGACGATTTGTAATATGGTGCTACGAATGACAAAACTCACTCACGATGCCTGCGAAACGTCTGGGAATGTACCACGTCCACGGTCCAACTTTGGAAATAATCATGCATACGATAGACTTCGGACAAGGTACGTTCCTTAAGTCTTCCTAACAATGTGACCAAATTGCGAAAGCAAGGTCAAGCACTTCTATAAATGAGCACTTTGAGAAGAACTATCTATAAAGGAAAGCCAAACAGATGGGATTTGTGAAAAATGGATTATATAAAAAAATTATCACAAATTTACCTAAACCAGGATGCTCGCAGTGGGGATCTCGTACAATAAATTTTATCCTAAGTATAATCTTATTTTTTGTAGAATAAATGTATTAAACTGAAATGGGCTAAGCTAAAGGGAGCAACTGTAGCATAAATATATATCCTAATATGTTGATGTAAGATATTCCAACAAACGGTTTGGTGTGATTTGAATTTTATTAATACAATATCTTATATTTAAGTTATTTCTTTATCAACAAGGACACATAATGAAAATTTTATATTGTTGTCTTGTCGTTAAATACATTCCATTAAGGCTGATAAAATCTTAAAAAAATCTGAATGCATATCCTTTAAGCAAATTGTATTGAATTAATCATAGCATTAAGGCAAATGGCGTAACATATCTTCTTAGGATGGATCTGAGACGATAACATAAAATGGAATACATATCAACAAGCTTTTACCTTTGGGTTGATGTGACAGTCAGAAACATTAAAATAAGTTTGGTTGCAGTTGTGGCTAAATAAAGCATTAGCATTGCATGAAATGAGCAGTTCAAGCAATAATTACACTTTAATGATAAAAGGACTGACAGATAGAGATACTTCAACAAGGAAATAATATTTCTTAATGAGATATAAGTCAGCTGCTCACGGTGTTTACGTCTGGGGATAAAGTAGCTATAAAATTTGACATTCTTGTGGTATATCAACAAAAGATGTTTTAGTGACTTATAAGTGAATCACGCAGGAAATTGGAGTAGCTCTTTGAACAAAAGACTGTCTTGACAATTCTGCTTAAACAATACACTGAGCAAAACTAAAATAATATAGACAAAAACTCATTATTTGCATTGGGAAATCGGAGCCGTTTTTGTAGCCATATATTGTAATGGATAGCATTCATTAGATTTGTCCATACCTTAAGAATAACACTATCTTAATCATAATCCTATTACTCTTCTCATTTGCAATTTAAAATTTCTTAGTTTCATTGGGTGTTATCAACACATAAGTGATAATTATAATATTGGTAATGTGATAAATAAAAAATAAAAAAATTAGTATCACCTTTTCGGTTTGTTCTTATGAATTTTCTGCTATTTTTATTAAGCGTGATTTCCCAGACAAATCATTGGCTATTTCAAGGAAAGAAAGAAAGACTGACGAAACTGTGCTGTAAATGGTACTCTCCAGCAGAATCAACTTTATATACGATATGTATTCACCCTATTTCGTTTAAGGTG